AAAAAGTCCAGTCTCTTTAGCCTCTCTTCATATGGGACCTGTTCCAAACCCCTGATCATTTTAGTTGCCCTCCCCTCTCCCACTCTCTCTCTTCCCCTCTCCCATTTCCTTTTCCCAGTCTCCCCGAGTTTTGTTCAATAAAGAGAGTTTCTATTTTTGAACACACGTGTCTTTTATTTTGTACATCAGGAAGGGGCGCTAGGGAGGGGTCAGTGGAAGGAGGTGAGGGAGGAATGGGGTACGAGCCCCTAATGGGGAGGACTGGAGTGGCTCTGCGGGCTCCTCGGGGTGGAAGCTCTCCTGCAGCCCCCCGAATGACCCCACTCCCCCCGGATGGCAGCCTGCAGCAAGTGCAGCCGGGCTGATGGCCGAGTGCTGTGATGTGCCGAGTGTGGGCATTCAGGGCACTCCAAGCCAGGACTGCTTTGCTGTCCCTCATCGAGTTAGATAAGCGAGCAAGGAACCCCTGAGAACTGTCTGTCCAGGGTGGGGGTCGGGTCCCTTTAAGCACAGCCCTCGGCTAGCCTGAGACAGCAGCTCCACGCTCTAAGTCCTAATCTGATGCCCTGCTGGCACTGCTTCCGGCCATCCTTAACCTCGGTTCAGTGTCCACTCAATGTGGACATGCTAGTTCGAATTAGCAAAACGCTAATTCGAATTAGTTTTTAGGTCTAGATGCACTAGTTCGAATTAGCTTAGTTCAAATTAACTAATTCGAATTAAGTTAGTTCGAATTAGTGCTGTAGTGTAGACATACCCTTTGTTGTGGATGATTCAAATGGACTAACAGACACAAGTAATTCTCAACATTTTCTCCCTGTAAAAGATGTTTGCAATAGCTGCTACAAATATGCTCATTAGTACCTCGGAAACATAGGTGGTGTAATTGAAGGAGTTAACCATAAAGGTAAGTTTAGCTAGTTAGGGGCAAATAAAGAGCTAATTCAGGGAGGTAAAAGAAGTGGCTGAAGAGCTGATCCAAGGTATTCAGAAGATACAACAGACTGCAAATATTTTGGAGGAAAGTTCTGTGAAGTGTGTGAAATTAAAATTGAGTCAAGACTCAAAAGAACAAATTCAGGGTTTGCATAGTTGAATTACACTGCTGACGGAATGCTGCAAATATTTTTTGAGTATACAAAGGAACCTGCTGACAAATCCATTTAACATAAAGTCAGAATTATATTGCTGCATTCCAATTCTAGTTATACTGAACATCTGCTTAGAAATAATACAAAAAGATTTCACCACAAAAAGATTAATTAGCAGATCATGCAAACCATCAGTTTTCCTCTACACTAAGGAGGTACAGTGCTATGTTCATTTTAAAAACCAGACAATATGGAGAGTGGATTCAGAGGGAAGAAACAAACATGATAAATTTTGAAAAATTAATCTATATCTATCTGTCAGAACTGGAACAGAGATGGAGTAAAACAACTGTCTATCAACACATAAAAGGAGATTTACCAAGATGACAGGTATATTATTATTACCAGCCAATCAGTCATAGTGGTCTTCTATCACATTACATCACAGAAAGTGTGGATTAAATATTAGAAGACAATTGAGGCAAAAGAAATGGCTGTCAAGGGAGGCATTTTGTTTAAATGAGGATAGGCAACTTATCAATAACCATCTATTACAAACAATTTAAGAAATAAACAATGTTGGATTACTGGCCAGTAAACCAAATAGAAGTCCCCATATTAATCCAAATAATGTTACTTTCTGATTTTTTTCTAAAATGTTAATAAAACAAATTCAACACCCCTAATTGTTAATATATTTCAAATAAAATAGTGATTCAGAATATGATGTAAAGCTTCATTGCTGCCAACACAGTAATAGTGTTTCATTACAACAAAACAAAGAAAAAGTCATGGTAAAAATGCCACTGTGCAGAAGAAAGATGGAAAGTTTTATGGGGCAACATGAAATGTCATAAATGCATATTTTAATCACCAGCAACCACTAAACAATATTTTATGAGGGTACTGGAAATGTTTCTAAAGGTGTATGAAGAAACAGATTTTCTATTCATATCTGAACTTGGGGATTTATTTAAAATTACAAGCAAAGGATAACTTGTGTACAAGTTGTTAAAAAATGCACCACATTTTGCTTGCTGTCTATTATATTCAGTGGAACTATGGATTTAAACAGAGTTACTAATGTAACAGCAGAAACTGATTCATGATGGAAAAAAGGAAGAAAGCAATGTAAGAGCTAATTACAAGGAAATGAGAACCCGTGTACAAGATGTTAAAAAGTTTTAATAAAAACAAAAGAGCAAGAATAAGTGTTCTGGCACTTTTGATGGCGGGAACTGTCATTCGAGTTCATTCTGCCACAGCACTGTGCGCTGACCTAAGTTCTCAGGTTTCATGCCCCTGCACATAGTGTCTAACATTAATTAAAAGAGTGGTCCCCTGGGGGGGAAGGGAGGAGAGAAAATATGTACAGCAGGGACTAGGCCAGTCCCCACAAGGGTAGGAAAGGAGCTCCATCCAGCCCAGCTTCACTCTGATCCCAGCTGCTGCTCCACTCAACCCCCTCCCACTCTCCCAGCCAGTTCCAGCCCTTGTCACATCTCCACTGTGCCCCAAGCCCAGCTATAGCCACAGATGTATTCTACCCCAGCCCAGCTCTGTCATCATTCTCTGTCTGCACATAGGCTAGCTCTGCAACTAGGCCCAGCTTCTCCCCCATTCCCAGTTCAGCCCTCAGCTCCACCATGGAGTGCACTGTAGACTAATGGAGCGGGGAGGGGTGCAGACAGATTCCATTTCTGGTAGGTGGAATGCAACAGGAAAAATTTTGAGTATCGTTGGTAGAACATGAAAACAAGGTTGCACTGTGGACTGGCACTTAAAGACAACTTTGAAGTCTGGAAAACATTCTATGCTAACCTGATAAAACTAAATGTCCTTTTCATTTAATCCATTGTGCTTTCCAAGCAATATTGTCCACAACAGATCGTTTCCTAGAAAGAAATCCGATTATCTAAGTAGGAAGC